CCGCCCCCCTCCACATGGCCCACAGCCCCCCCTCCACATGGCCCCTCCCGGCGGCAGTTGACTGCCTCAGGCCAGTGGCTGCACATGGCACTGGCCCAACCCAGCTTGCATGCTCTTGAACAGAACCAGAACAGCTCCTGTTGTCACCTAGGGTTTTCATCACCACAGACAGAAGGCACACACCAGGATCCTGCCTGCGTGGAGCCAGCCTGGCCTGACAACACTTGGAGCACGTGGAGGTATAATCTGGCATGAGGATGTGAGGCTTCTGCTTGCAGTGCTGGAAGACCCAGGTGACAGCAGGACCTGGCCTGGTTCTGTGCAAGGGCCCGCAGGTAGGGTCTGGCCAGTGCCATGTGCAGCCATGGTCTGAAGCAGCCCCACACTGCCAGGGGTCTCCTCCAGGAGCAGGTACCAGTGTGCCGATGGCCACTGCTGTTGCTACTGCTGCTGCAGGGGGACTGTGGGCCATGCAGGGGGGCCATGTGGGGCAGTTGTGGGCCATATGGGGGGCTGTGAGCCATGCAGGGGGGAAGTCAGAGGACCCACCCCTCCCAAGCAGTCCTCCCCACCCCGACAGTTCCCCCCAACTCCCATACTGTCCCCCCACACCCACAAACTCCCCCACAATCCACCCAAAAACCCCACACCCCAAACCATGCCCACAAACGCCACCCACATACCCACCCACAAACCTCACACTCACAAACCCCACAATACCCTAGACCACCACAGAAGTCCCACACTGCCTCCACGAACCTCACCCCCACAAAGCCCAGACCCACTCCTACACTCATTCACAAAATCTCCCAAACCCACCCACAAACCCCATACCCACCCCACCACACCCCTTCCCTCCCCACAAAACATCTCCCCACATGTCTCATACTCTGCATGCCCAGCTGCCAGATAGGACAGGAATTGCTGGTGGGAGCCATGACTGTAGAGGCAACTGCCTTACTGCAGGCCTACCCCATGCCAGCACCAGTGCTGGGACATGGGGTCCCAGTCTTTGGGGGCTCCTGGTCCCAGAAACCATTTGGTGGATGTGATGGGCTGGTAATAGGGGTGGAGGTGGCAGCAGGAGTTTGTGAGAGAGAGAGAGAAGGAGATGGGGGCCAGGCATGGGGAAGCACTCTGAGTAGGAGAGGCTGCCAGATCTGGGCTTAGAGCCCCTCTGCCCCCCTACAGCAGCCTGTTCAGGGGGAAGCAGCCTGGAAGGGAAGGGGCTTACCCAGCCTAGTTCCTGAGCCAAAGTTGAGGGCTTCCCAGAAATAGCATGGGGAGTGCTGGGGTCTGGCACAGCAGAAAAGCAAGGGCTGGCACTGCTCAGAGACACAAAGCAGTGTGGAACAGCTGCAGCTGGACTCATGTCCTGGTGCTAGGACAGAGCTACTGCCAGGGGGGAGCTAATGGGAGCAAGCAGGGGCTGAGAGTCAGGAGTCAGGGGCACAGATGGGGTTGTGGTTTGGGAGTGAGGGGCAAGGGCAGTGGCAGGGAAATAGCATATCAGTATTCCTCAGTGCCACACATCCTGATGAGTGAAGGGGGCAGGGGCAGCTCTGATTTTTCTAAGAGAAAAAAACCGAAAGCAAATGCCAAAGTGTATAGATATTCAGAATTTGTTTTATTATGATGATAATGGCACTGGTAGGCTTCCAAACTCCTTTACATCTATAAATATACCAGTAAAACATTGCTAAACTGATCTCTCTCTATATTGTGGCATTTAAATTTAATTGCGGAAGAGCACGGATTTGGGGTGTTTTAATGAGAGAATTTGGGGGGGTTTATCAGAGAATTTGCCATTTTTAAACAGGGAATACCAGGATCCCTTCTAGTAAGGCAAGTGGCAGAACCCAGGGAGAGATTCCTGCCCAAGGCCAGCACCAAGGACCCAGCAGGAGGGCAGATGAGGTGGCTAACCTAGCCATTTGGGGCCAGGAGAGCACACTTGGACAGTTCAAAGTGGGCCACAGCAATGGGCACATCTTCTGGGCGATAGCTGCCCAGATGGCAGAATGGGAACACTAGGAGACATGACAGTAGTGCCACCCAAAGGCCAGCTGTGCAGCCATGACCCACTGGCAGAGATGCAGATGGCTCTGCTGCAGTACCCATATCAGATCCCAGGCGGCCATGCAGTCCCTGTCTGGGTCTGGCAGGAGTGGAGCCAGGGGGCCACAGGTCCAAGGGGGCAGATGCTGTTCCAGGTGGCAGCAGGTCACAGCCATGCAGTAGCCCCCACTGCCAGACTCCTGCAGTAAGTAGAGGGTGCAAGAACCACTATAGGTTAGGGCTGCTTCAGCAGTTCAGCTGGCACAAGGGGTAGTGTCCCCAGATACCACCTGGCCAGGCCTCAGAAGCTCCTGAAGGGAAGTAACCCTGAGCTGCTCACCAGAGCATCTTTTTATATTGCTGGGGCCAGCAAAGGTACTATGGCACCCTAGTTGAGGTTCAATGGGATTTAGTACCTTAGATGAATAAATAACTTATTGAAAGGAGACAATTTTTTCATATTGGCAAAGAGGCATTAAGCAAGGATGTACTTCTCCCTTCTTCACTAACCATGGAAAAAAATAAAATTGATAACTTAAGAAAAATGGCAGGTACCCAATATAAAATTGCACTTTGTATTGTTATTAACTAAGAGTTAAAATTTCCTTGAACAAAGAAGTAATGAATTACATCACTTTGGTAAGATGCAAGGTTGAAACAAGTCTAGAAAATGTTGGTATCAAAATACAATGGATAATCAATAAATTAGATTTAGTACAGGAACAATTAAATAAATAACTCTTATCATAGTCATCAAGTAATACAGGCCAAGTAAATGATCTTAATTTTAATTCCTTACTTGCTATGTAGAACAACACTAATATTTCCTGGATAGACTGAACAGCTACAGTCAAAATGAATCATCTTTTTATTCTACACACTTCTAATTACAGTAT